TTCATTACTGTTATTTGGAAAGATTGATGTTTTATTTTGTCATTATTTCCGTATTGGACTACGATTTACGAAATATGAATGTGAACTCTCTATCTTTGTATTTTGAAACCTTATTTTTAAGAAAGTTTTATTTAATCTAGAATGTACTTTATATTTATTGTGTATTATGTATGTGGGGTAGAGGGTGTCACAGAAACTATGAGGCTAGTAATTGTTATTGTTAGTTCTAGAGGTTGGCCTTTATTTCATTTAGACATGAAATATGAATTTCTCAATGGTTTATTGGAGGAAGAGATGTATGTGTTGCAACCACCAAAAATTGAAGTGAAAGGGAAAAAACATGCAGTATACAAGTTGAGAAAAGCCTTGTATGGCTTGAAACAAGAGAATAAATGTTTTCTTGCACTATCTAAGGTTGTCAAAATGTTTAGTGGAGTTTGGGTATGTGAAGATGAAGAATGATGTTGATTTGATTCTAGTTTATTTGTACATGGATGACCTTCATGTTACAGGAAATAATAGCTTTGAAATTGAGGAATTTAAGGAGAGAATGAGTTCAAAATTTGAGATGATTAACTTGGAAATTTATTACTTCCTTGGTTTGGAGGTTGTTTATACCAGTAGGGGTGTTTTTCTACATAAAAAAATATATTCAGGAGATGCTAAAGAGTTTTTAGATGGAAAATTACAATGAAGTAGTGACCTTAGTTGAGACAAGTGTGAAGTTGGTAAAAGGAGAAATGTAGATGTGTGTTGATGGCACATTGTACAAACAGATTGTGGGATCATTGAGATTTTTGTGCAATAGCAAACTTAACATTAGTTTTGGAATTGGGTTGGTTAACAGGTTCATGAGTGATTCAAGAGTCTCTCATAGAACTTTAGTCTATTATTTTTTAAGGTAAAGGAGTAGTGTGTGACAAAAATTAAAGCATTTTCATATTCTGAATGGTGTAGAGGCAAGGTGGACAAAAATAGTACTTCTAGATACTTTTTTCGTTTTCTTGAAAAGTGTGGTTACTCTATCTTGTTTCATTTCTAGAGAGACCAAGTAGCAAGGGAAAGTTGGAGTTGGTCTATTATCATAATGAGTTGTAGGTTGTGGATGTTTTTACTAAACCATTGAAAATAGATAAATTGAAGGAGTTAAGGGAGATGCTAAGTGTTGTGTCCTTGGAACATTTGAGTTACACATGCTTAGTTTGTACATATAGTGTCTGAAGATTTAGTCTAAACATATAGTTTTATGATATAGTTTGTATGTATCATATGTATATCTTAATTTGTCAATATTATATATTCATATCATATGTCAATGTACTACTTAATAATGAGGATGAATAGTTATGTGTAACATAATATACAAGTGTGAGAATAAAGTTTTTCTCTACTCTATTTTCACTCTCTATTATATGTTATGAGTGTGTGTTTATGTGCTTGTCATCCCTAACAGGCCCTAGAGAGCTAGCAAGGCATGCTAATATATCCACCCTACCCTATCATTTTTTGTAGGTTGGTGGGCCACAATGCACTTTTCCTCCCTTAGTTTTCATTGGTAAAATGCAAAAATATGGTTTAATGGTGACTTTTTAATGACAGGTGTTATCCACCCATTATATTTAAAATTTATTATTATTTTTAATTAATTCAATGAACTAACCCAAATCAAATTAAATATAATTGGATTGGATGAGTTCAAATTAAAGACTAAAAAACAAAAAAAAAATGAACTAATCCAAATCAATTAAAGTTGATCGAATCATATTAAAATATGCCTCAAATATAATCCAATCCAATATGTGTTCATCCTAGTAAATACACGAAATCTTTCTATGTTCGATCACAAAATAATTGACATAGAAATCAGGTGGCTTCTATAAAATATATGCTAAAATGTGACTTATCTTTTCTTACTATTCCCGAATATATTTTATGTCGGCAAAGCCAATAATCTTGAGGGTGGTTTAGAAGTGTAGCTACCTAGAGTCCTTAATTGAGAGGGTCCAATCTTTTTTATCTCTCGTATTTTAAGAAAAAGATAGAAAATACTTTGTGTTTTATTTTTCTGTATGTTAACCTAAATTCATTTTATATTTTTAAAAATTATGATTTTTGCAATTGTGTTTTAACTATCATTCATTTTATTTATTTTTATTTATGAAAAAGAATTGAAATTTTGTTTCATATTAAACAATGACATTGAAAAAATATAAATTTTTAAATAAAAAAAATTGCACTTGATGACATATTTTTCCCTCAACAAGTTTGATGTATCTAAAAAATGAAAGTTACACTTAATAAAATTTGTATTTAATACTTAAATAAACTATTTTAAAAAATTTCCCTAC